TAAACAACTTAAAGTACAAGGTAAGTTTCTATTGACTCTTCTTCAGAATATTTGTTTGTAGTCTAGCAGGTTTGTTCCTGCTTTCATTTCAGAACCTTTTTCATGAACACTTCAGTTGCTTCTGTCTAAAGTTAAACACAAACACTGCTTCTTCTTTGTCTGTTCAGACAACAAGCCTAAGCCTACAATAACTCAACAGCCAGATGCTAAAAAGCTTTACGTTGGAGAAAACGTGTCCTTTGAATGCAAAGTTGAAAACTCAGATGGATGGAGCTATGACTGGTACAAAGATGAAGCATCAATTCTCAACAACAGCAACAGTTTAAAAATGGAAGGACTCGGTTTGTTAAACTGGGGAGTTTATAAGTGCAAGGCCAGAAGAGACAAAACAGGATTCAACACAGAATTCAGTGACCAGCGGACCTTACAGATCTTTGGTGAGCTAAAGAAAGACACTTTGAAATCATGTGATTTGAGATACTTTGGTGAGAATCAAAACAGAAAATCTCTAATGATTTGTAAAATGATTAACAAGTCTCTTATATTTTATTTTTTAGAAATTCCTGTTCCAACTTTGAATCTAGTAACCAAATGGCCAGATGTGTTCCCCACTGAGAGTGTAGATATGAGCTGTGAGATGCAGACGGACAGCGCTGACTGGACATACGCATTTTACAGAGATGGCACTAAGGTCCAGCATTATAATTCAGATAAGGGCAGAAATCTTTCCATCACCTCTGCTTCAACCTCAGACGGGGGAAACTACAGCTGCTCAGGAAAACTGAAGAGCAGGGACGTCTACAGCACCAACAGTTCTCCACTAAAACTTCACGTCTATGGTGAGATTTGTTTTCTTCTTCTGCTTTTTGACACGGTTCTTCATTGAAACTTGTCTTTTTCAGTTTTGCTGTTTTAGCTGTAATTTTAAAGTAAAGGTTTAAAATGTTGCGAATGTCAGGCTGTTTACTCTCCTGCTAACAGTTAGACTATGAGAGTGTTGACCCGTTTACAAATGGAATGTTCAGTATGAGCTCACACCAGAGGGGGAAGGTTGGCTTGAAAATTAGAGAAGCCATAAAAACACAAACACCCATGTTAACCTCATTCAATGCAAAGTTGATAAAGTCTTCAGGAAGTCAGCGGTTAATTCACATGAAGTCCTATAAAGTCATTATTATATTTACACTTTAAAAAAATACATTA